CCCCAAAACCCCAAAACCCCAAAACCCCTATAAAATTGGTCATTGTTGAAATTAATTCAGCCTATGCCTTTTATTTGACCTCCCGAAGGAATTGGATCCCTTGAATCCTCCTAGCTTCGACTGCTGTTTGTTAAATAGTTGCTCTGGGATCTTGAAGTCTGGATCAAAGTTTGTAGTATCCTCATTGGTTAAGTGAGTCCATTTCGACTGTCCTCTCTTACCAAATTCTCCCCTTCTCAATTGCATGACTCTTGGAAGTGTACTAATATCTCTCTTTTCAGATGCAAGTGGGGCATTATAATCTCTATTCAAGACAGCATATTTGCCTCCCTTCTTAGCCAGGTCCATATGATATGGTCCTAATTTATAATACTTCTGCATGAAGTTATACTGCATGCCTTCCTTATGATCGGTTTTATCAGAGCCTAGCTTTTTGTTTTCTGCTTCTCGTTGTTCATTAGTGAGAGTTCTTCTTCTCTCAATTTCTTCTTGCTCTTTAATTTCTTTTTCAGCTTCTTCTCGTTCTCTTTTAATTCGTTTGAACTCTCTTTCCTTCCAGTTTTCGTATTCTTGGAGCTCATCTTCAGGGTGATCTGTGTCATCAGGTAGTTCATCATTGTTCTCACTTGCTTCACTCTTTTCTTCCTCTTCTTTAGCTTTCTGGATGAGTTCCTTTGTTTGCTGCTGAAGCTTCTCACTTGGCTTTTCAGATTTATACACTCCTTCAAAGATGCCTTCCTTTTTAGTGACTTCTCGCTCTTCCTTGTTGACAAAGACGGGCTTGAGAAGTGGTTGGATTGGCTCAGGCTCTTCTTCTTCGACCTCTTCTTCAGACTCTTCCTCTTCTTCCTCCTCTGATTCATCGTCAGAGTCAGATTTTTCCTTGACTTCTACAGGTTTAGGCTCTGGAAGTTTGATTTCTTCAAATTTAAGAGTAGCATTTTCTTGGGGTTTAGCTTCTTCTTCGACATCTCCAAAGAGACCTTCATCATCTGACTCAACTTCATCGTTAATTATCTTGGTCTTTTGTGGTTCCCTCTGTTTTTCATCATCTGAGCTGTCGTCAGAGTCATCCTGAATAATCGCTGATTCACCGATTTCTCTACCTAAATCTTGTTGATTTTGTCTATAGTCTCAATAATGTTTGTGGTACCTCTCATTTTTGAGCTGCTCTAGTCTCTCAGTGGCTTTCTCAGAAGCTGGCCTATAAAGGTTAGAACAAATATGTCCATACTGGATTTTAGGTTCTTTTTCCTCTTTAGACTTTTTTAAATCAATCTTTCCTGCTGAAGTGTCGATAATAATAGCTGCATCACCGCTATATCCCTTATATATCAACTTTTGCTCCTTCTCTTTAGGTTTGCTAGATTGGTCTTTAGTAACGATATTCTCTGGTGCCTATAGATGTATTAAGCTGTGATCCTACCTTGCCTGCCCACATACGTTTAGGCTTCTTAGCCTGCTTGTGAGGTTCAGCTTTCTCCTTCTTACTAATCATGGCCTTATTTTACCTTTAAAGTTCTAAAAATTGTATTAATTCTTGGGGTTTTGGGGTTTTGGGGTTTTGGGGTTTTGGGG